CAAAAAAAAAAAAAAAAAAAATCCAAAAAACAGAAACTTAGTCACTTCTAGAAGGCAGAGTGACAAACCAAGACTTTCTGTGAATTAGAAAAAGGTACATGCTCTGAGTGGAGGAAGTAAAAACACCTCTCAGACAGACAAGTTAGAAAAGGAGCACCTGTCTCAGCCACCCAGTGGAACAGATGCCCCTCTCTCCCAGGCTTGGGCGTGGGTGGGAGGTCAGCCCCATTTCCCACCCCTCCCTGGGCACCCTTGCTCACCTGCAGGGGCTCTGCCTGGAACGCCTGCTTGTTTGACAGGGAACTGTCACAGGAAGGGACAACCACAGTATCTTCTTAAGAAGTAGGCAATGTGGCCTGATTTAATTCTAATTGTTTTCTTTTTGGCTTTGAAGTGGCAGTTTCTAGGGAAACCCTCAGTACCTTCAAGGGGAGATCAAGGACTCTGTCGAGTTGCAGAGAAGTTACTGAAACCATTCATCCATTTGGCCAACAGCCATCAACGAAGGCCTGGGGTATGCGTGGTAAGGCACAACCAGATTTGCCTCTGGAAGCCCACAAGCCAGCACAGTGCAAGACCAACAGATGCTGACAGGCACGGAAAGTGGTCACTTCATTTAGTGTAGAACCCAAGCGGGCTTCAAAGAGGAGTTAACTTCTGAGGTTGCTCTTAAAAGAGGGATAGGATTTCCATGGCTAGAGAAGCCAGCTGGAGAGTAAAGCAGACACAAAACTATGGAGTCCAGAGAACCTATGCCAAGGCCAGATCATAGGGTAGAAGGAATAGGGAGCCTGGAGGACATCTGGTTCTATGAAAGGCTATAAAAGGCCATGGAAATCAAGAGGAGTCAGGACACTGCTGGGGGAGTGGAGGGAGGGTTTTTATTCATCTCTCCTTAGAATAACCTGGATGGTGCTGGGAGGCCAGGCTTTGGGGACTCGGGTTTCCAGACTGGAGGTGGGGGCAGGGGGTATGTATGCCTAACATAGTCAAGTTTGAGCTGATAACGGCTTAGTACTGTGAAAATCTCTAGCTATTAACCAGATAGCTACTTTTAAAGCTAAAAGTCACAGCAATTGCTAATAAATTGGGGAGATTAGCAGAGCCTCTGCCTTTCTGGTGGCTCTAGTAGTGACTGGATCCATCCTCAGACTCTGAGGTGCATTAGGACCAGGATAGGAGGGAGGACACATGTGCAGTGTAGGTGCTTCAGCCTCAACCCCAGGGAAGTGGGGTCTCTGTCTCCCACAGCAACACCATTTCCAGGTTACCCCGCCACTAAATCAAACATCAAGGAGATGTCTTTAAACCTTCAACTTGTTTCTCATTAATTAACTAGAAATATCTTCACCTGTTTAGTTTTTAGCTAAATAATCTCTTTAACTGATTAATTCCACTTGTAGGCAGAAAGATGCGTTACAGTTGGCCTCAGGAGAAGCTAAGACAGCAGAGACTGCCCTGTGGAAGGTGAGCATGCACAGAGAAACAAAGAGATAGAAGCTGGGAGAGCAGGGCTAACAAGAAGCAGGTCTGGGTGCTGCTGGCAAAGCAGCTCAGTAGTCACGGATGGTCACTAGGAAATACTGTAAGGAGTGGGCATGAGGGAGATCTAGATTGTGTCCTTCCTCCTTTGAGGCACCACAGCCTGGGGGGTTTGGCGCTCAGCCTCCATAAGTCTCAGGAGCTCCACTCAGAGGAGGCCCCACAGAGCCTGTGGGTGTCCCTCCTTAGTTTGCTCTGCTTCGACTTTGGACCTCACAGCTTGCATGGCCTGCAGAATCATTTCAAAGTTGACCAAGACTTGCTAAATTATCCTGTAAGAGCAAAAATGGTTTGACTGGAAAACAGTAGTGAGCAAAGGTGAAGTGCAGCTAAAACTGTACCCATCATCACTAGGTAGTAATATCCCAGCCCAAATGAGCTTGGTGCTGACAGCTGGCTGCACCCCAAAAAGAGGATCTATTTTCCTTTTATCAGAAACTCAAGCCATGCCTGAACCTAACTGGTCTAGTTATAACCTCCTAACCTGTATAGGTAAAGTGACTCACCATGCCAGGTTGTCTAGGATTCTCCTGGTTTTGGCATTTGAAAATCCCACGTCCTGGGAAATCCCTTGAACATAGACATTGAGGACGCTTGGTTATCAAGGGTCCAAGTTATGGGGCCATGAGAACATATGGCAGTGTAATGGATCCTAAGACTCCTGAACTCCCTCTTAGTAGATGTGCACCATTTCATTTAGGTCCCTCCCTCAACAAATAGAATTTGCAACACCTGTTTTGTAGGATTGTTTGCAAGGATGAAACTGTAACAGAAAGCAAGCAGTCAAGCCAGAGCCAGCTCCTGACTCCTGGGGGAACCCTGGACTGGGCCACATGTATGAATGGGAAATGACCACCATCCAACAACTCTGCCTCTCTCCCCTGGCACAAACCCGCCTGACTGTATGAGCTGTGGTTGCCACTAAAGGTTCCCTGTCCCTCAGGGATTGAGCACTTGCCATCACACAGAGACATGTGGAGCCAGATAAGAAACCCACATCCCCAGGCACGAAGGTCTTGCTGCTCCTGCTGCGTGGCCAGGCAAGAGGAGGGGACCAGCCCTGAGGACCAAGCCACCAGTGTTTCTAAGTGCTCTGTGTTGCTGAATTTCTGTCCTCTTGGGACACTCCATAGCAGAGTTCAGTGAGAGAATGGCACGAATCCTCTCACACCTCTGTCTTCTGAGCCTGGCAGAGCCCTGGGTCTTCTCATTAGCCAGTGAGGTCTGGGGTGTGCTAGTTACAGTGAGGTAGCAAGTGCCCCAGAGAGGAGCTCAAAGCAAAAAATGCTGGCCCTAGCTCAGTCAGGATGGCAAGGAGAAGAATAAAACTCTTTTCTTTTCTTTTCTTTTCACAGATTTTGAGGGTCCTTGAACTCCTCTGTGGGCTTTTTCAATAGCTGTTAGGCATTTAAAGGTAAACAACACAGAGGTAGGAAAGAGGGATACTGGTAGAGATGCAAGTGGTTTCTCTCCGACTGGGCCCCTAATAAGTGGCAACGCCAAGACCCTGCCATCCATCCAGCAGGTTGGAGAGGGAGGCGGCAAACAAACCCATAAAGAGTAGAATGTGAGATGATGGTAAACGTCCCAAAAGAACATTTAAAAGGTAATGTGATAAGTGATAAGTAATGGGGACAAGAGGGAATCTTTTGATTGCAGGTGAGGGAAGGCTTCTGTGAAGGATAATGTTTGAGCTGAGACCAGGTCGATACAAAGGAGTCAGCCATGCCAAGATGTGGGGAGGCGTGTTCTGAAGACAGCACAGTGGGACAAGGACCCTAAAAGCAGAAGCAAGCTTGGGTGAGGTATAGAATGGCAAGAAGATCAGTGTGGCCTGAATGTCTGGGAGAGACAGCGGCAGCCAGGCAGAGGTAGAGAGGCGACGTGGGTGTGGGCCAATACAGGATGTGTTTTTTAATGTTCATCCGCAGGACATGTTGCTGGATTAACTGCGGCTGCGGATGAGAACCTAGATTTCAGGTGAATAGAAATGCTGTGACACAAAAAGATGGAAGAAGCCTGATTTGGTTACGTCCAGCTTGAGGTAGCTGCTGACTGTCCTAGGGGAACTGTCAAGTGGGTACCTGGGGAGACAGGCTGGGGGTAGGGGCGGCTAGAGCTACAAATAGGGGAGAGAAAAACTCACATGGAAAGTTGAGAGATGAGACTCTGCTGTTTTGCCCAGCTTCCAAATGCTCCCGGTCACCCACACCCTCTGAAGGCTGAGCCCCTTAGTGTTAAACAGCCAGGCTGTGTACCAGCTCTGCAGGCTTCTCATACCAGCTCATGGAAAGGTCTGGACCACTTCCTGCCCGACTCTCATATATTCTCTCAGCCAGCATACATCCAGGACTTGTTCTGTGTAGGTGCTAGGCCAGATCCTCACCCGGCAGAACCGAAGGCCACGCTGGGGGAGGCAGCTCCTAGAAAGGAGACGGGAGGACAGGGAGAGGGTGTGGCCACAGAAAGTGGCAGGAGTAGGGCAGGCTACCAAGAGGCCAACTTGCCAAACCCTTCCTACCTGAGGACCTGGGCTAGGTCTGGCTGCAGGCTGCTATGAGGCCTGCAGCTGCTAGAAAAGATGACTTCTTAAAGCCTCCTCCAGTTCCCTCTAGTTCCAAAGTGCTGCAGTCATCTAGAGATTAATTCCAAGCAGACAAATCATTTAGGGAAAAAGCGAAGTTTAGAATTCCTTTACATCAATTATGCTTTTCTATTTTAAACCTAAACTTCGTGATAATTGCCTACAGCCTGGGCAGTTCCTTCCCAAACAAAACAGTCTTTCAGTTAAATTCTGTGCTCACAGTAATGACACCCACTGAACAGACTCCAGCCCACCCCTCCTCCTCTTTGGGCTCCACCTCAGAGTGCTCAGACCAGAAGGTGCAGCAAAAGCTCTTTTGTACAAGTACAGCTATTACAGGGCGTGGTCCCCAGGAGACACTACCTTCTCTATTATTTTGACAGCATGACTTCCTGTGATATAACTAAGTATCTCTTGTCATCTTAGTAACAAAGGCTCCTATTTGGGGTTGGTTTTTTTTTTCTCCTCTCAACAATATACGTGACATTTACTACATCATCAAACGGTTTCTGAGGTTTTAGGGCTAAAGCTCTGAAAGTATTACTTCCTGTCCCGGCAGCAGTTCAGGTGCCCTGAGAAGACCTGAGGCTCCTGAAGTAGGGCCGTGGCTCTGCTGTTAACCTCACCAGACCATCCAGCAACTTCAAAGGTAGCCTGCCCTCAGAGCAGATCTTCCCAACCGCTGAGAAATGGGCTCTGGACCTGAAACCACCAGCAATCCCTTCAGGCCCCTGAGCAAGTCACTTAACCTCTGTGCTACACAGATTACTAGATGGTAGGGGGCAAGATGAGCTCTAGGGAATGGTCCAGCATCCAATTCCCTACAGTTGAAATACAGGCTGGAACTGCTTTCAGGACCAATAAGGCAACCTCAATGAAACCTGCAGTGGAACCACACATTTTTTTCTAAAGGTCAGAAGAATATTAGCTTGGTTTCCCCAAAACCCCTCCCCAATGACCTAGTGTCATGGGGATTTGATGGACTTGCACTGTGAAATACAGATTTGTGGCCTCTAGGACAGAAGAGTAGCCATCATTTCTCCAACTCTTTATCCCTCCTGCAGCATTTATGGCATACACACTTCTGGGCAGGCTCAAATAGGGATTCAGGGACAAAAGGATAAGTACAGCAAAGACTCTGTCCTCCAGGGACAGAATATCGAGGGAATGGGACTGCACAGGAACCCATAGCTTACCACAGGCAGGGCTGGAGAAGTCCTGAGAGGCACAGGAAAGGAGCCCTTAATTATCCCCAAGTGAATAGAGAAGGGAAGGGAAGGCAGCTTCCCGAAGCAGCTAATACTTAAGCTGACTCAAAACTTCAGTAGTGGTTGGGCAGTTGGACATTTCAGGCTGAGGCAGCAGCAGACGCAGAGCAAGTGCTTGGTGAGTAACACCCACCCATCAGCATGACCGTGGTATACATGGGGCAGCACTGGAAACCAGGTCAAGGCATCAGTGTGTGCTGAGTACAGCTTTACCTCATTCCAGGGCTTAATCAGTGGAACACAGCATAGATTGTATTGTCTAAAGGTCAGAGACACTAGATTTGGAAGACGAGCTAGACCTGAAATTGCATCCCTGATTGGTGCAACCCTGGGAGAAATACTAAATCTTCTAAACCTCATTTTATCCTCTGTTAAATGGGCATATTGATGCCTGCCTCATAGAGAGTTTTTTGTAAGGTAATAAATGTCAAGTACTGAGCATAATGCCTGGCATTCAGTCTTAGCAGCTGGTTAAATTAGAGAGATAAGGTCTCAATTTGTGCTTCTAGAATTATTATTCTAGCACCATTTGGAAGGTGGGTTGAAAGGACACAAGATGGATGGCAGGAATGAATCCAGCTGCATGAGAGCTCACATACACGTGTACAGTAATCACTCGATAGTGGGGTAAACAACATACTGCAGAAACAGTGTGATTTAATTTGAGGGGAAAGGAGGAGGAGTCAGAAAAGGCTTCGTAGCAGAGGTGACACAGGAAATAGGTCTTGTTAAGAAGAGAAACAAGAGAACAATACAGATGAGACGTGGAAGCATAAAAGTTCAAGACATACAGAAGCTATGAGAATAACCTAGGGCCATGGGGGAGGAACAGGGATAAAGGCTTTCCTGGGTCCACATCCAGGAAGCACATATGATATAGCATGCACATGCCAGGGCCGGGACCACTATGATGAGTCTGGGCCAGACGTTGGATCTGACCTTGCATGTGGAATTCATTGCTAAGAAATTGGGAACTCACTCAGTAGGTAAACAAGGAGCCTATTCCTTTGTTAAAATTATCTGGGGAATTCTGATCACTGACCCATAAAACAGTTTTCAAGAAAGTAGGG